AGAGGAACACATATGTGAGAATGCTGTTCATTGACTACAGTTCAGCATTCAACACCATTGTGCCCTCCAAGCTGGCCATCAAGCTCAGAGACCTCGGACTCAACAGCGCCCTCTGCGACTGGATCCTGAACTTCCTGACGGGCAGACCCCAGGCAGTGCGGGTGGGAAATATCACATCCTCCACCCTGATTCTCAACACCGGTGCCCCTCAAGGCTGCGTGCTCAGCCCTCTCCTCTACTCCCTGTTCACCCACGACTGCGTGGCCACACACAGCTCCAACACCATCGTGAAGTTTGCTGATGACACGACCGTCATCGGCCAGATCACAGACGATGACGAGACGGCATACAGAGAGGAGGTCGAAAACCTGACATCTTGGTGCCAGGAGAACAACCTCCATCTCAACATCAGCAAAACAAAGGAGCTGATTGTGGACTACAGGAAGCAGCAGGGAGAGGGACACGCCCCCATCGCCATCAATGGGACTACGGTGGAGAGAGTCAAAAGCTTCAGGTTCCTTGGGGTCCACATCACTGAGGACCTGACATGGTCTCTTCACACCACCACCATCACTAAGAAAGCTCGACAGCGGCTCTTCTTCCTCCGCAGGTTGAGGAGGTTCAAAATGGATTCCAGGATACTCTGCAACTTCTACAGGTGCACGATAGAGAGTATCCTCACTGGCAGCATGACGGCCTGGTACGGCAGCTGCACCGACCTCGATCGTAAGGCTTTACAGAGGGTGGTGAAAACTGCACAGCACATCACCAGGACGGAGCTGCCATCCATGGAGGACCTTTACTCCCAGCGGCTCAGGAAGAAATCACTACGGATTATCAAAGACCCCCATCACCCCAGCCACAAACTGTTCTTTCTGTTGCCGTCTGGCAGACGTTACCGCAGCATCCTGGCAAGGACAAGAAGATTCGGAGACAGTTTCTTCCCGCGGGCAGTGAGACTGTTAAAAAATTGAACTGTTGAAACAACTTCAAACATTCAACTGCTACTCAGTAGTATGTATCTAATACCTAATATATATATATCATTCCAATAACTTGTATATAGACTCATACTGCACTATTCCACATCATAACTTTATTTCATTTTTATAACTATTATTATTTTTGTATTGCTCTTGCTCTTATTGTTATTATGTTATGTTATTATGTTGCATTGTTGGAGAAGCCTGTGACATAAGATTTTCAACTGCATAATTACTCTGTAGCTATGTCAGATTGACAATAAAGAACCTTGAACCTTGGTGTTTTTGAGTTGATGAGTAGTGCAGATATCACTGTAAAATCAATCGACAGTAAGGAGAATACTTACTTCCGGGTGTAAAATCCTCCGTTATCCAATGGGAATGGACGCTCAGCTCTTTGGGTCCGTAATACAATAAAGGGGACTTGATCAAATAGGAATATAATTATCTTTTAAATAACGTGAACTAAAGGGAACAATCTATTTGACACAGCTGAAGCTCTGGCCTTCCTTAAAAACGAACTAATTTAATAAAAATCACAGTTGTATTACACACAATGCACTGTTTTTTGAGAACAAACATTGGTAAATAATGCACCATAATACATTCTGACGAAAAATAAAAATTATTATGAATACAAATAAAATAAAAGAAGCCTCTCATGAGTTACTACAAGCTATAAAGTCGATTTTAAAAACGTTTTATATAATAAAAGCTCACTGCTGGACGTTGTAGAAATGCGTGTGTGCACCACGACAAAGGAGCCTCATTCACTTTACATTGGGGTTGTTTGCGTGGTGCAGACACGTAAATGTAGCAAAGTTCGTGACTCCACCACGCAATGCGGTGTTAAGGAGTCGTGGTGGAGTCACGCATTCTGGTGAGACCAGGTTGCCCCTGTCATGGGGCAAACATATGGGTGATGTGTTGTGTCATACATAATAAAAAGAAAAAGATGATATTGAGTGTGCAGACAGTGGAGAGATGGATCGGAGCGATAGTATAAGTAGCCGGACATAATGTATATGTTTTTCTAAGTATGTATGTAGCGTGTATGTTGTCTATAACCAAGCGGAAGAGGAAAGGCCCATCATCAAAACTGGCTTAATAGCTCTGAACTGACGTAAATTAGGAAATAACTATACAAGGAATGGTATGTTAAATCTAAAGACAAATTACATTGCTATCACACAGATTTATAAGTTACTCAATACAAACAAATTATATTAAGGACACAGCAACAATAAAGTAAGTAAGAAAGTCACAAAACAATATTAATAATGTTATAAAAAGGTTAATATTCTGGAGCAACATAAGAAATATGTGCCTAATTAATCAACAAAGGGAAAGTAAGCTTATCCCTGAAGCAAAATATGATAAGTGTTGGTAAAAAAATATATATACATAAGAAGAAGAAAGAGAAACACTGATGTCATGTAATGCATTTACCTGGAAGGCATACTTGATGACTTTCCTGTTTCTAACAATAATGAAGGGCAGGATGTTTATATGTGACACTGTATGTTATCACTGGTCTATCTGCAGATGTCTACAGCAGGCTATATGACCCAGGGGAGGGCTGACTGTGGGCTGTATGTATCTAACAAAAACATCCAGCACGGACAATTTAGCTACACAAATGATACCAAAGCATCATAGATTCAATAGGAATTGCAGGTTTAATGAAGAACATAACAAAATAACAATCCAATTAGGAGATTGATGGCCCATTTTAAGGCTTTTAAGGTGGTGTGTGTATCTTTATTGTGTTGTTAAAAACCTTAAATGTCCTCCAACCCATACCATCCAAATGTTGTTTGTTTCTAACATCGAGATGAAGGGGGTCAACACATCCTCATACCTCAACATAACTTTCGCAGTTTCAAACATGTTGTTAAAGGTGTAACGGTTAGGCAACAAAAGTACTCAGTTGGTTAAAGAAAATGGTCTGAGGAACTAATTAATTAGTTGGTAAGTAGGCGATTTAAGTTAAGTATGTTACGACCTAGGTACATCTAAATAATTCAATGTTGACTTTTGGTTTCACTTGGCACACGAAGAGCTGGGTCAAAGTCTTGTTTGTTTGACCCATCCTCTACACAAATGTTGTCCCTCACCTGATTTCCTCCTTGAGTCCTGTCACGATTACCACCATGCAGGTATAAAGAGATTACTATGGGCACTAAAAAGTATTGAGATGTAACAATATAATGTATTGTCAGCAGAGAAGATTGAGATGACACTTCCATATTGTACATACTCTCATGTTAGCTCAGCCTAGCTAGCTAGGACAAGATAGAACAAGAAACAGCAACCCTAGCTCTGTTGCAATGGTAACAACAAATAAAACTCCTTGACACATGATATCTTGTTTGAAGGAGCAGTTTCCAGGCACTTAGCTAAAATGTTGGAAGTTAGTACTCCAGGACATGAAATACTTCAGCACACAAAGCAAGATGTATTAGAGCTTGAGAGAAGATACAATGTGTATTTGGCACCGGGCCAAGAAAACATGCTGTTTTTGTGCTAAGCTAAGCAGCTGCACCTAGCTATAGCTTCACATTTACATCACAGACAACAGAATGGCATTAATCTTCCCATCAAACCCAAAATATTCTTTAAACCAGAGGACTTACAAAAGCAGATTATGATATATACACAAAACCTTGGCCCAGAAAGCAAGGGTTACTGTTGGAGTTTGGTGCTAGTTTTCACATCTACTCCAACTGGTGTGGTTTTAAAAAACTGGCACCCTCCTTTGTTCACTTGCATATCCGATCCCTTGTGTATTCAATTTGTTTTTGGGATGCAAACAGTAATTTTTTGCGAGTAATGGATAAGCTCATGAGAAGAAAAAAAAAAGTTACAGTGACATTGTTTAGATCCAGCTCCATGTGGGAAAAGTCCTCAGAAGACCCCAGAACTGATCAAAAACATTTGGTTGTCTTTGACTGAAGCTTTATCCGATAAATGTGAGCGTTGCTTGGGCGGAGGATGTCAACAGACTTACAGTAAGAAGACTTGGATGACTGAGTTTCTTTTACTTTAAAAAGATTATCTTCTGAGGAGTTATTGGTTATCTTGCGTAAGTGTGTATGTCTGCATCAAAGCTGGCTAGCATCCTGTGGGCAGCCCAGGGCAGGACCAATGGGCACCAGGCGGCAGCGAGGTGGGTGTCCTGCAGCAGGCACCACGCCGTCTGCCACACACACACACACACACACACACATCCCAACCCTCCCGAGTACATAAGGCCACCATGTAATTGAAGTAGTGTCAGAACTCAGGGGAGGAAGTGATGGGAAGGACTCACAAACACACATTTAGCTCAGAAATCATTGTTATATTAACTATAATGTGTAAAATGTCAAGCTAAAATTACAAACAAAAACAATGATTGAGGCTGTGTATTACACATTAAAGTGCTTTTGCGGTCAATAAAGATCATTGAATCATAGAGATCATTGTATATACTCTTATATATTTTAATGTCATCTTATGTTATTGTCATTTTATCTTATCTCTAAATGACTTTAAAGAAGCTGTAAAATGTGTTTACTTGAGTAAAATAGTTATTGATATTTTACTAAGCTTTTTAAACTGAAAAGAACGCTAGATATAAAGGAAGACAAACTTGTACAAAAATATCAAAGTCAGTTTTACCTCTATTTCCACTCAGTGTTTTTCATAGCGTAATGCCGAGTGTCAGGGAAAAACCTTGCATGAAAATTGCAAGTGTGGTGTTCCTTGCATCATCAACTTTCTGTGTTTCTGTGCTCCTTAAAATGTTGGTTTATCTCTATGATAAGATAAGTTAAGTTAAGGGTAATTTATTTATTTAACACCTTATGAAACACAGAGGTCATTCAAAGGGCTGTGTGTGTGTGTGTGTGTGTGTGTGTGTGTGTGTGTGTGTGTGTGTGTGTGTGTGTGTGTGCGTGTGTGTGTGTGTGTGTGTGTGTGTGTGTGTGTGTGTGTGTGTGTGTGTCAGAGGGGATAGTATCTTCTGCCTCACACTTCATGTTTGCCTGAAGTCATTTTATTCCTTCACTAAAGGTTAGACAAACAAAACTGAACATTCATACATTCATGAATTTTTATAATGAGCTGTGTGTTTTCATTTGTCTAACTGGGATAAGGCCAGACATTTCTTTCTCATTTTTTAGTAATGTACTACTCCTTAACCCCAGCTCTTTGACAATTTACGAGTCAGGTGCTGTTCACTGGACTTGCAAAAGTGTTATGCCTGCAAATGAGAGAAGACTAAATGCCTGTGCTGGTGTAAAAAGTCCTGGTGTTGAGTATACTGCTAACCTGTGATAACGATTTGTGACAGATTAACCACTCGTGATTCTTTCCCCAGGTTTAGAGATTCACTTAAATTTGAATGGAATGTATTGATGGTGCTAATTCTATCTATGTCTGAGTGACTTTTTTAGGACAAAGCGATAACTTGGATACCCATGTACGAAGAATAGAACCAAATGTCCCGGTGTAAGAACACCAAGACAGTCTTTAGTCATATATTTCCTAAAGGGGACACTCATAGGAAAAAAGAAGTTTACAAAGTAGGTTCAAATGTTCTTTTACTTTACTAAGGCTAAAGCAAGCATGCACAAAGTAATACAAGAAGGGATGCATATCAATCAAGTAATAATTAAATAATAGTTCATTTAAAATTGAAACCCTACACCAATTATACTAATTATGTTTCATTACTGAAAGTAGCTAAATTGCTAAATGCAACAATAATCCAGTTAAAAACATTTTAACATCAATGAAAGGATATAAATGTGTAGGAATAAAGCCGACTAACAGCATAATTCGATTGATGTGTAAAAAACAATAATTATTTGTTAATTCTCAGTAGTTTACTGCTATGTTTTTTATTTGCCTGGATGTTATATCTTCTTCTTTGCCCCAGTTGATGGTTAATCCAGGTTGTAGGGCAGAGTGAAGCTCTCACTCTGCAGCTCTTTGCGAATAGGTGAAGTGAATCTGGCCAGTTGCTCTGAGCTGAAATGGTTTTTCCAGTCACCCGGAACACCTAACACACACACACACACACACACACACACACACACACACACACACACACACACACACACACACACACACACACACACACACACACACACACACACACACACACACACACACACACACACACACACACACACACACACACACACACACACACACACACACGCACACACAAATAGTCAGATATGACTGAAAATCTCTCTCCAAATAACTAACCAATTCCAATACTTCAACCAGGTTGACACTTCACACAGTTCAATGCAAACTGAAAAAAAATAGAGGTTATGATGATGGACACACGCCGCCTCACCTTTCCTGAGGAACGGAGATTTCTCAGCGTTCATGTACTGCTTGGGGACCAGGCTGAAGTTGGACATGCGGTTTGTCTTCATCGTCTTGAAGGTGCAATGTTGTGCTATCTTCTGAATAGTGACTTCACTCAGGTTACGGCCCAGGAAATCTGACATCTGCCTGAGAGCTGCTGGGAGGTCCTAAACACGGGGAACATGGACATGTGTTTTCATGTGTGTGGAGCAACGGGAGCTGTTATACTGCACATTCTCTAATGAAGAACTTTTCTACATGATTTTTGCTCGGACTCCATCTAAGTTTTCTTTACACAGGAGACAGGTAGTCAGTTGCTAGCCACAATTGTAATACATTAACATATACATGTCAATACATGTGAATGATTGACAACTGATGGGCAGCAAACATTATTGAAGTTAGCAACTAATGTACTGTAATAATAATAATAATTCCTTATATTTATTATAGCGCTTTTTCCATGACCCAAAGCGCTTTACAGGTACACATTACACATACATACATACATGTAACGGTCATGTACTGTGGACAATACCCACAGGAGCAAATTCAGGTGAAGTGTCTTGCCCAAGGACACAACGGCTTTACAGACGCAGCGGCGGCGGAGGCGGGTTTCGCCCCCTTGATCTGATGATCAATGCACAGCCCACTGCGCCACACCGCCCATCTTCACACCTCAAAGTCATCAAGGCGCTTTACAAGTACACATTAGTATCATACATGTACTGTGGACAATACCCACAGTACAGTATGTTTAGTTAACATACAGTGTCGACCATGGCATGAATAAAGACCAAAGTTTCATCAGTATAGCTTGGCAGCTGTACGTGCTTTTTTATAGGAAGCGCCCTCCCATGGTGAAACCCTGCATTTGAATGAATGGATTCATGGAATCTAGACACAACCGTTCATTCAATTCAATTTAAGTCATTTAATCATCCAATATAAACTTGCCGGCAAACCCCCGGAGGTTAGGATTTAGGAGGCACACAGCTGGGAGCGCTCCATCTATATTTGTATCATGTTTAATAACTACTTAATTACATTACATTACATGTCACTTGTTAGATGCTTTTATCCAAAGCGACTTGCATACTCAATACTGTGGACAATCCCCACAGGAGCAATTTAGGGTGAAGTGTCTTGCCCAGGGACACAATGACATGCTGACTGCAGTGGGGTTTGAACCTGTGACCCCCTGGTCCGAACACCTACACACAACCCACTGCGCCACACACCGCCTTAACTTAACTGACACAGGCACAAATTGAAACACAATATAAGGGAAGGGAAATAATAAAGCAAATAATAAATGGAAAATCACGGTAACTGGTTAAAAATACATAAGATAAAGGTTAAATGGGAGTATAAAAAAGGTGTTTCATGGGGACGAAATGAGCAAATGCGTACATGGAAGGTATTCTGATCTAGTGAAAAAATCTATTTCAAATAATACCATTTTATCGTGCCCAGAGAAAGGATAGCCAATTTCTAACCGCAATCACGATCACAATCACCATCTCACTTCCTCTGGTATTGGATTGTATTTTATTTCTTTTGCATGTGTTTGTAAAAGATTGTCAAACGAAAGGATGGTGTGGAGTGGTTTTGTTTGAGCCGTCAAAGTGCCTTGCGGCTTGTTTTGGACTGCCTTCTGCTGCAATAGTGAATAAGATCACTGCCTTTTGTGAATAAGCTGTCTCCACATGTTTATGTTTTACCTGACACATTTCTTCATATGTGATGAACAGTATCCTGTCTCCCAGCTCGGCACTTCTCCAGCCTTTCACATGGTCGGTCCATTTTCCAAACATCACTGCAGACAACATGGAAAATAGACCTCAGCATAAATACAAAGGTGACTTTTACTTCCTTTCAAAATGTGTTCACATTATAATTCTGAAGCTCTCTTTATTGGGGATGAAACCACTCACCATTGCCATCAAGGAATTTTTCGATGAATTCATCAAAGGTCCCTGGATCATCAAGGAATTCGGCCATCTGATGGAAGTAGTATGAAGAAACTAGGATGTCCTTAGGGTTCCGCATGACATAGATCACCTACAGTATAGCAGAGACATGAGAGACTAATTCAATAACACACTAGATACAATGTGTGTTAGATATTAATTATTGAAGGACAGACAGCATGTTAAAAAACATTTTAATTACAGACAAATACGTGGAAGCTTTCACAGAAACACCACAATATGGAGCTCAATTCATAGATGTTTCCAAAAGAAAATTAAAAAGAAAAGAAAATGCCTCCACACTTTTACCTTGGCTTTGGAGGCGTGGAAGGATGGGGGCATGAGTCGGAAAGGGAAATGTGTGACCATTGCCCGTGGAGCAGTCAACGTATCCGCAATCAGTGCTAATCTTTTCTCCTCCAGCCAGGGGACCCTATCCCAGTTAGGGATGGTGTGGATTGGGGTCAGATCACCTCCATTAAGCAGCAGTGGGAGGATTTCCTGCATCCAGATTGTACCTGCAGAAAATAAAAAATAGTAGAACAGTAAGGCAAGGCAAGGCAAGGCAAGTTTATTTATATAGCACCTTTCAACACAAGGTAATTCAAAGTGCTTTACAAAAATGGAAGACATTTTAAAAATGGCATTTAAAATCAGTCATTAAAAAGAAAAGATAATAAAATAAACATTAAAAGAAAAAATACATGGATAAAAGTTAAAAGTTACAGTGCAGTTTAAGATGTGAATAGTTCAATTAAAAGCAGCGGCAAAAAGAAAAGTCTTCAGCCTGGATTTAAAAGTAGTAAGAGTTGCAGCGGACCTGCAGGTTTCTGGGAGTTTGTTCCAGATATTTGGAGCATAATAACTGAATGCTGCTTCTCCATGTTTAGTTCTGACTCTGGGGACAGAAAGCTGACCAGTCCCTGAAGACCTGAGAGTTCTGGATGGTTCATAATTTAGCAGTAGGTCAGACATGTATTTTGGGCCTAAACCATTCAATGCTTTATAAACCAGCAACAATATTTTGAAATCTATTCTTTGACACACAGGAAGCCAGTGTAAGGACTTCAGAACAGGAGTGATGTGATCCACTTTCTTAGTGTTAGTGAGGACTCGAGCAGCGGCGTTCTGAATTAGCTGCAGCTTTCTAATAGATTTTTTAGTGAGGCCTGTAAAGACACCATTGCAGTAGTCGAGTCTACTGAAGATAAAAGCATGGACAAGTTTTTCCAAATCCTGCTGTGACATTAGTCCTTTAATCCTAGATATGTTCTTTAGGTGATAGTAGGCTGATTTAGTAACTGTTTTAATGTGACTGTTGAAACTCAGGTCAGAGTCCATGACTACACCTAGATTTCTGGCTTTATCTGTTGTTTTGAACATTGCAGACTGAAGCTCAGCGCTAACTTTTATACGTTCTGCCTTGGCTCCAAAAACCATTACCTCAGTTTTATCTTTGTTTAATTGGAGAAAGTTTTGACACATCCAGTCATTGATTTGTTCAATGCACTTACTCAGTGTTTGAATTGGAGCATAATCTCCTGGTGAAATTGTTACGTAAATTTGTGTGTCATCCGCATAGCTATGGTAACTTATTTTGTTGTTTTTCATTATCTGAGCCAGTGGTAGCATGTAGATGTTAAAGAGAAGAGGCCCCAAGATGGAGCCTTGAGGTACCCCACATGTCATATTTGTCAACTCAGATGTGTATTTACCTATAGAAACAAAGTTTTTTCTGTCCTTTAAGTAGGACTCAAACCAATTTAGAACTGTTGCCGAAAGTCCCACCCAGTTTTCTAGTCGGTCTAGTAATATGTTGTGGTCAACAGTGTCAAACGCAGCACTGAGATCTAATAATACTAACACTGAAGTTCTGCCACTGTCTGTGTTTAAGTGGATGTCATTGAAGACCTTTACAAGAGCAGTCTCAGTGCTGTGGTTTGGACGAAATCCTGACTGGAACACATCCAAACAGTTATTTAAATGCAAGAAGTTACTCAACTGTTGAAATACAACTTTTTCAATGATTTTACCTAGAAATGGCAGGTTTGATATTGGCCTGTAATTGTTCATTACTGAGGCATCTAGATTATTCTTTTTTAAGAGCGGTTTAATGACTGCAGTTTTCAGGGCCTCTGGAAAAATACCTGAGTGAAGAGATGTGTTTACTATATGAAGTAGATCTGAGGCCATGCAAGGAAAAACATCTTTGAAAAATCCTGTTGGAATAATATCAAGGCAGCAGGAGGAGGATTTCAGAAGTTGAATAATGTCCTCTAAGTTTTTACCATTAATCTGATGGAATTGTGTCATGGTGTTTGAATTGATATTAGGTGGACATAGGGACAAAACATTTGCTGTACCTGATGTAGAGGCACTGACTGCTTGTCTAATTTTCTGAATTTTGTCAGTGAAGAAGGAGGCAAAATCATTGCACGCCCTGGTGGATAGAAATTCAGAGGCTACTGACACTGGGGGGTTAGTTAGTCTGTCGACAGTAGCAAACAAGGCACGTGCGTTGTTTTTGTTTTTGGTAATGATGTCAGAGAAGAAAGACTGTCGTGCGTTTTTCAATTCCAAATTATAAAGGCTAAGTCTCTCTTTATAGATTTCAAAGTGAACCTGGAGATTTGTTTTTCGCCACCTACGTTCAGCTTTTCGACACTCTCTTTTTTCTGTTCTCACGGTCATGGCCTTTCTCCATGGAGATATTTTCTTGCTAATCACTTCCTTTACCTTAGTTGGAGCAATGGTATCTATAACATTTTTAATTTTTGAATTAAAATGATCTACTAGCTCATTTACTGAGATGTTAGCAGGGGCAAGTGTGGATGAAAAATTATGAGTAAACATTTCCCTAGTATTTTCTGTTAAATATCGCTTTGTGGTTACCTCTTTCTGAACATTTTTGTGAACAGAAATAGAGCTCTCAAAGAAAACACAGGAATGATCAGAGAGTGCAACATCAGTCACTACAACCTTTGAGATATTCAGACCCTTTGAGATAATTAAGTCCAGAGTGTGCCCCTTATTGTGCGTGGGCTCCGCCACATGCTGAGTCAGTCCATAGTTATCAAGAACACAAAACAGTTCTTTAGCCCCTCTGTCCTGGGGGTTGTCAACATGGATGTTAAAATCACCAACAATGACTAAACGGTCAAAGTCAATACACACTATAGACAGCAGTTCAGTAAAATCATCAAAAAAGCTTGCACAGTATTTGGGTGGTCTATAGATATTTAGGAACAGAGCTCGAGAGGAGCATTTCAGCTGAAGGGCCACATATTCAAAAGAAGCAAAGTCCCCATAAGATGTCTTCCTGCATTGAATGGAATCATTGAACAAAATAGCAACTCCACCCCCTTTCTTATGCATTCTTTCCTGACTCATAAAACTAAAGTTGGGAGGGGTTGATTCGATAAGAACAGCTGCACTGTTATTTTGTTCAATCCAAGTTTCCGTTAAAAACATAAAATCGAGATTGTGCTCAGTGATAAAATCATTGATTAAAAATGTTTTTCCTGCCAAAGACCTGACATTTAATAAAGCTAGTTTAAGTTTGTTAAATACACTATCAGTAAAAAATGTTGTGACAAGCTGTGGCTGACATGGAATCACTGCTAAATTTGATAACCTCACACAAACGTTTGAGCACTTCCTGTTTCTAAGCTGATTTACCGCTCTTAATCTATTACCTATCAACACAGATATCGGCAAAGCTACTGGCAGGCAGGGCCCCGGCATGTGCTGGAAAGAGTTGAGAGTGCCATATGCCCTTGAGCCTGGACCCAGCACATATCAGTAAAAGTTTGTTGCGTTTTGTACACACACATCCTTATCAGGCTTCGGAGACTGCAGATGCCTTCTTGAAGGGATGGGAGGTGGTTGACGTAGGCACGGTGATGAAGACGGGGGAGATGGTGCGCGTCTCTGCTTCTGTGATTTTGGTGGGCGTTGTGGAAGGGCGGGGGTAAAGGAGATGCTGCCAGGGGGGGGAGGTGGTTGACGTAGGCTTGTCTTCGGTGATTTTGGTGGGCGTTGAGGGGCGGGGGTAAAGGACATGCTGCCAACCCTGCATCTCGCCTTCATGCAGTCATCGAACTCCAGGGGGGAGGGCGAGGGTGAAAGGGTGAGCGGAGAGTAGAGAGAGCTGGGGGATGAATGAAGAGTATCCTCAAAGGCGTTGACAGGGGGGGTGACGGGCAGTGGAGACTCCTCCATTTGTGTCATAGGTCTCCCATAATCAGAACATTCCTCAGGCGGGTGCAGTGATACTTCTTCAGGGTTTTCTGCGCAATGTGTTGTGACTTTCTCCTGTTTTGATTCCTCTTGCCGCTTGTCCTTGGCAGAGGGAACAGATTGCTGACGCAGGCAGTTGAATATGTTAGAGATAAACAATTTCACTCCTGACTTGTTCAGGCAAACTCCATCTGCCTTAAAAAGATGTCTGCGATCCCAGAAAAAGTTAAAATTGTCAATAAAATGGACAGAATGGTCAGTGCAGGCAGCTGAAAGCCACATGTTCAATGCAAACAGTCTGCTGAATCTCTCCACTCCTCTTCTGACTGGCGGTAGAGGGCCACTGATGAACACCTCCGCATTTAGAGAGCTGACAGTTTCCAACAGACATTTAAAGTCTTCTTTCAGCGCTTCTGACTGTTGTTTCACAACATCATTTGTTCCAATATGTAGTACCACATTCTTCACAGTCGGATGTTCAGCCCCAATATGCAGGATCTTCTCAGCCAAGTCTGAGACCATATCCTTGGGAAAACAGAGTACTTTGGTGTTGTTCTTACTACACAGACCTTTTACATCTCTTACAGCAGAGTCACCCACAATCAGAGTTTCAAGCCCAGTCGTTAGCTTTCCCTCTAGCCTTTTACTTTTGGAGTAGCTATTGGTCCTTACCCTGCTGTGTGAAGAGGACAGGTTATCCAGGTCATCAGAAAGAGATCTCCGGTTCTCGGTCAGCGGAGCGTATCTGTTCTGGATTGGCACACTTGGTGGTTTAGGAGGATTGTTTGTAGTTCTCCCTTTAGCAGCTGTCCACGGCTGTTTCCTAGTATGAATAGGGGTTGAAGAGGCACTCTTCCTGGGTGATAACAATGCAGGCCAGCCGGTCGCATCACAGATTTCAGAGCGCTGGGCTCTGCCTGTTATTCGTCCTCCCAAATCCCATGGAAATGATTTACTCTTAGGCTTTGCACCCAGAGAGTTCCAGGGAGGACTACCACTTGTAGATTTATTACCCAGTACACAGCCCTCCTGTTCCTTGGAAACCTTGTAGCTGCTAACTAGCTGTGAGTTAGCATACCCTTTTCCATTATCTTGCAACACTGGTAAAGTGGTGTTATTCCCACAACATAGTCCATTCACTTCCACGTTAACTTCCAACCGTTGCATTTTCATTTCCAACACAGCCATCTTCTGTTGAAGTTTGTGGAAGTCATCTGTAGAGAACGGAGGCATTTTGCTACCAACTAGCCTAAGCTAAATAGCATGCAGTAGCCTACCA